TATATATATATATATATATATATATATATATATATATATATATATATATATATATATATATATATATATATATATATATATATATATATCTCTTTTGCCTCTCCCTGGGTCGGATGCCGACCAGGGGTTTTTATACTACTGTACGAGGGTTGGTCGTATGTGGGTTTGGTGTGGTGAGCGATCATCGAGAGGTGAGATGGTACCTTTGTGCGGTTGACGTCCCGTAGCATGCGGAACAGCGCCATGCGACGCCTTCCCGAGCTTTCTGGGACGGAACGTACCGAGCAACGCCTTGGTACGGATTCTGGCTTGGCGCGTGTGGGTGCTTCTCTTGCTGACTTGACTGTAGCGTGGCATGACGTTGATCGTGTGACGTGACCTGGATTCAAAGTATACCTTATCACAAGGGATGTTTGCTTGCATATTAACAAACATATCAATTTTGAAAAATGTTGGTAACAAATCAATTTTTAGAATAAATAATTATATGATTAGCGACTTGAGTGTCACATGCATACTTATTCACGAGCAACTTTGTTTATCACTATTCATTTAAAATATTTTTTAAAAATTTAATAAATTAATATTTTATCGTGAGTACTTGAGCTTACAAAGAATTATCCACTTTTGGGTAACTTTGTATAATTTTGTCCTTTCGAGATGAGCCTCAAAAATACCTATGAGGATAATGATAATGTTAGAAGAAAATATTATTAACATATTTAATGATGGAAGGATTTCCTAACGAAGTAACAAGGATATTTCCGTAATGGTGTTTTAAAGTTTCTCATTCAAACTGTCATACAAAATCATCCCCAAATATTTTCATTAGAATAATCACATGCTAAATATGAATATCCCCCATACCTACTATCAAATATGCATAAAGACATAATATTGTGGGAAGAAAAATATCATAATCTTGAATTTTTTTAATATAATTATAACGTAACAAATCAACGGAATATTAACTCACGTTCACTCTTCACTGAATCCCAGTATTTTACTATCAATTGTCAATGTCTTCACTAACTAAAATAGGATCAGAAAAATCTTCAACGATTGAGCTATTATAAAAAGAATCATAATCAAAAGTTATGATCATGATTAAACTCTCTTTACCTTTGGTTGTGTACTTTAATGATTCTATATCACAACAGTAAGCTTGGCTAGTAAAGAAGAAAGGATTCCCATGGACGCATTCATAAGTTTCTTTTACCTTAGTGTTAAATTAATAATTTTACACTGATTAACTAGAATTAATTCCTAAATATCTTATCAATATTCATCTCAAGTTTAGATCACTCATCGTAAAAGATCAATCATATTACCTATAAAATAATATAAAATCTCAACCTTGCAAGGTAAGAATAAAATTAGAATCAAATACAATGCAATCAGAGATGAAGCAAAGGAAATCTTATCATGGCGCTTCATTCGTGGGCACGCCTTTTGCACCTGCTTAGTTAGTCCGCACTGGTGGGTCATAGCACGCCCAACAACTCGCCGTTCACAGCTATCCTGATCCCAACACCAAACACTAACATCCTCCATCCGATCCACGCCATGTGGATACATTTAAGAACTCAACCGCCCACTGCTCCGAGTTGGCCTCGTTGCGTTTGCCCGGTAGATGCCGTGCGTGCCACACCGCTGTGACGTGATCCTTACGAAACCCAAACTAGATTTTTATTGGTGGCGGATGATTGGCTACAGCTGTAGTTTCCATCTGATGTGGACAATCAACGATGGAGGTCAGGTCAGGGGCCCACGAAAGGAGACGCTTCCGCTAGCAAAGCGACAAAACCGGGACGGGAGGTTGTTTCCGCAAGTGGTTTACCGGCAGCTTGAACTGGCTCGCCAAGCCGCTCGGTCAAACCGGTCAAACTATCTGGGACGCATTACTTCATACGAAAGGACGTGTTTAACCTTCTGCACATCGCTGTTGGCGACGGATTAACTCGCGGAAGCAGGGGCGATTCCCGCTGCGCCCACGAGAAACGCGGTTTCGATGGCCAGACGGCGGTTTCGTCGTCCCGACAAAACCGAGGGTACGTTGTGTAATTTCATGAAAATCCAAGGGCTATTGGTCAGATAACGAAGGACTCCTAACCCCGGTTAAGAGACCCGACCCGGGATCCATACCCAACGGACGGCTCTAAAGTGCTCGTGGGAATCCGAAAACAACAAGAAAAGCGAAAAAGAACAAGAAGTGAGAGTGGGGGTCTTCTAGGGTTAGGGTTTGACCGTTGCACGCGATCGAGGGTTTTCGACTCCCAGCCAAATCACCGCGATATCCCGGTATTCCGGCGCGATTCGCTACTCGGTCTACGATCTCGCGTCTCTGAAACTCCTAATTTTCGGGAACGCCGGAAAACCGCCTCAAGGGTTCCAGAGACCTCTTCCAGCATTGCGGGGGTGGAACTGCGGAGTGGGTTGCGGATGTAGCGTCGTCATCGGGGGGGGTCAGAGGCGGTATTAGCATTGGCGTCGCCGGAGGCATTCGAGCTCCGGTTCTATAGGGTTTTGGAAACCCTAAAGATCGCGCCTTTAAGGGGGTGGGCCTGGGCATGCAATCCGGGAACGTCCGGAATCCGGCGGCCACCCCGCCTCCAGGGCGGTCGCCGCCATCGTCCGCCGCGTCACCTTCCTCCTCCTCTTCCGCCGTCTCCGCTCCGAACCACCTGGGCTTCGAATCTCTTCAGCACCAGCAACAGCAGCTGGCATATAGGCAGGTCAGTTGGTGGATTTCGCGCCTTTCTCGTTTTAATTTCGTACTCTGACGGGCGTGACGGTTGCGGCCTTTGTCTGGGGATGTGAGAAAAATGTGGTCGTCGCTGTTTGTTTCCATATTTTGGGGATAAGTGGGGACAGTCGTGGGTTCTTTAATTCGAGACCTGGGTGTTTTTCGGAGGATTACCACTGGGTTTCTGCGCCCTAGATTCGCTGAATCATGCGTTTTTACCGTTGGACGATCCTTGTTGGATTTTGGTATTAACACATACTATTTTCGATGGGTCCTCAAAGAACTGTGAGCCAAGTCCTTACTCGATCGCCGCCAGGTTAACAGTGTCGAGTCGATCTAAAGGTTGGCAACTTCGGGGCATTTTCTTTGTTTCTCCTCATGAGGTTCTTTGGTGTTTCTTTCTTCGTTTATGTTTTTGTAAGTTCGACCATTTGGTAGTGGATTTTGGGACTCATGGCCGATTTTCATGTTGTTTCTGGAAGCTCGTTTTTATACATTGATGGTCCATTCCTGTGATTCTTTTTTTTTTTTTTTCAATTTTTGTAGTCCATGATAGAATATTCTTTTTTTCTCTTTCTCTGATGTTTGGTCAGATGGCTAAGAGTTCAATCGATCATCTTCTTGGTCTCTTCATTGGTTTGAGTCACATTGTTCAAACGAGACGACATGGCTCTGAATTTGGTTTAACTACCAGATTTTCAAGTCCATTTCCGTGTGTATGAGTTTTCTGGACTTGGTGGTTTTTAACTTTTTATCGAAGTTTTGAGATGATCTTATATATCTGCAAATGAGCTTACAAGTTTGAGCATTCTGCAGTTGTTAGGTTTAAAATTTCATTTCTCGAATTACTTCTAATATTTAGATGTTGACCAGGGTACATTGTGTTGATTTCACTATCTTTTCTGTTATGTTTGTCGGCTTGTAATTGTTTTGTGCTTCTTAAGTGGGTGCAATCTATATGTTCTTCAGTATTGGGTTTGAATTAGCATCTTCTATTGTCATAAAAACTGTTGAAAGGAGGGCTGTCTTTGATTTTGCAGCTTATGAACTTAGTAATTAAAGCATATGCTATTTGCGTTTACTTTATATGCACATGCAAATGGATTACAGTTCTATGAATATTTTGGTTTGTAAATTCCAACCAAGTAAAACGGATGAGAGAGTCAATCAAATCTTGTATCGTCAGAGGTGTTGCTGCTCATAGAGTTGCAATTTTGCCCTGTTGTTATCGTAATATCCATTGTTCTGATAATGGAGTAAATTGGTACCTTTGGCACAGGCTTTACAGCAACAGGAACACCAACAGAAACTGCAGCAGCTAAGAAAATCTGAAGTTGATAAATCCCTTCTTACTTATCAATCTACTAGTACACATGGGCCCACTTCAGGAACTGGTTTTCCGACAACCCCTGGACCTTCACATCTGTCTCAGTTGTCAAAGAAGTATGGTAACATACCTCATCATCCTGGTGCTGTTCATGTCCCCGAGGAAAATGAAAATAAAGGGCAGGGTGTAGGACACCAAATGCAGAATCCACTTCATCAAGCTTACCTCCAATTTGCTTTTCAAGCTGCTCAGAAGTCTCATGGGAATTCAGTAGTACTGCAGCAAGGTAAAATGAATATGGCTGGTCCATCTCAAAGGGATCAGGACATGCTTATGAACAAATTAAAGATGCAGGAACTTATGTCACTCCAGGTAGTTAATAAGTCGCAGATGCCTATGCTTAATAGGACAGCCGAACAATTCACATATGCTGAGAAGCACTTGGAACTAGGTCATACTAGCACTGATCAAAGAAATGATCTGAAGCCTCTCCCAGCAGACGGGCAGTTAGCATCTGTTAACATGGTAGTGCCAGGACAGCCACTTCAGTTGCTGCATTCTCAAGCTAGTGTGCAGAATTCTGCAAACAATCAATTAGAGATGGCACAGGTACAAGCAATGCAGGTGTGGGCAAAGGAACATAATATTGATCTGTCTGTTCCTGCTAATTTGAGTTTGATTTCTCAAATCCTACCCTTTTGGCAGTCCAACAGAATGGCTGTGATGCAGAAGCCAAATGAAACTAGGCCCACAGCACAACAATCTTGTTTTCCGTCTTTGATGCAACCAGCAATGCCATCGCCAATTGGCACTGAAAATTCAGCAAATGTTAACTCTCCAAGTGATTTGCCTGGTCGGTATAGCTCTTATAAATGTCATCAGGCACTTCCGTCCAGTTCGCTCCCTGGTGGTGGTGATACCATTGGCATCAATCCCAATACTTTGCAAATTCAGCGGCAGGTTGCTGGTCATAACAGGATCAACCAGAATGAGGGGACTGTTAAAACCCCAATTACCACTGAATGTGGTGGGCAAGTTACACATTTAACAAATTCGTCTGGTAACTTGAATCAGACCCTAGAAAAGTCTGATGCTAAGAACACTTTTACAGGCAGTGAAATGCAGCAAATGCAGAATTTGAGGTCCTTGCAGCAGTTGGATAGATCCAGTTTCTTACCCGCGGTTCCTAGAAATGGTACTGTGGGTACTCAAGTTCCAAGCGAAGGTGGATTTGCTCAGATAGCAAAACAACGTATTGGGTTCACAAAGCAACAGCTTCATGTTCTGAAGGCCCAAATCTTAGCTTTTAGGCGTCTCAAGGTATGCAAAATAATCTCAGAACACACATCTCTTTCCCGCCTTTTTGTCTACTGATTCCTGCATATTCTCTCGATATATGTACTTTGACAAAAGGTTCAATCTTTCTTTACAAACACTAACTCATGCAAGAATTTATGTTTGCGTACTATCAGCGTGGTGAACGAAGTCTACCACCTGAAGTTCTTCAAGCAATTGCAGATACCCCGGTTGATTCTCAGCCAAAGCATGGTCACATTCAGTCTGGAGTTAACCAGGACTTGGTAACGAATGCCAAGAGCAATGATAACAAACATAGGAGACATGTGGAGTCTAACGATCAGGCTCAGCGGTCTGCTCCAATGAGTGAAGGCCACATGCAGCTGAAGGATGAAAGCTTTACTGGAGAAGAGAAAGCTGCTAGTGTCAATCAAATGCAAGGTACAGCAGGTTTAGAGAGGGAAGCTGTATGCAAGGGATCTATTGGTAAGTCAGAAGATAGCAGTTCTATTGTCAAATCTGACCACGAGGTTGAAAAGGGAAGTCAAGATTTATCTAGCAGAGGTGACTACTATATTGACAAGGGAAAGCCTGTACCAGTGGATGGCACAATAATGGTTCCTGAGCAGTTGAAAAAGCCTGCCTCAACAAGTAGCACGACACCTCCCAGAGATGGTATTTCACGAAAGTATCATGGTCCAATTTTTGATTTCCCATCATTTACAAGGAAACATGACTCCTTAGGATCAACAACTGCAAATTACTCTACTAATTTGACATTGGCTTATGACATTAAAGATTTGCTATTTGAGGAAGGTAAGATTGTGTTTAACAAGAAAAAGGTAGAGAATCTAAAGAAGATTAGTCGGTTGCTTACTGTTAATTTAGAAAGGAGAAGAATTAAGCCCGATCTTGTGATACGGTTGCAAATTGAAGAGAGAAAACTCAAGCTTCTTGATCTTCAGGCTCGTCTAAGGGATGAAGTTGAACAACAACAACAGGAGATAATGGCAATGCCTGATCGGCCATACCGCAAGTTTGTTAGGCAATGTGAACAGCAACGTGCTGAGCTAACAAGGCAAGTTCAACAGTCGCAAAAAGCATCCAGAGAGAAACAACTGAAGTCTATCTTTCAATGGCGTAAAAAGCTCTTAGAGGCTCACTGGGCTATTCGTGATGCTCGGACTGCACGAAACAGAGGGATTGCAAAATATCACGAGCGCATGTTAAGGGAGTTTTCAAAGAGAAAGGATGAGGACAGAAATAAAAGAATGGAAGCATTGAAGAACAATGATGTGGATAGGTATCGTGAAATGTTACTAGAGCAGCAGACGAACATCCAAGGAGATGCAGCCCAACGTTATGCTGTTCTTTCTTCCTTTTTATCTCAGACTGAAGAGTATCTTCGGAAGCTTGGCAGTAAAATTACAGCTTCAAAGAGTCACCAAGAGGTTGAAGAGGCAGCAAATGCTGCTGCAGCTGCTGCACGAGCTCAGGTACAATTTACTTGATTTATTTATATGCACCTGCTTTTGTCATCCACTGCTGAAGCATTGCATAATTGTTTTTCATTGGCAGGGTCTCTCATCTGAAGAGGTCAGAACAGCAGCATCATGTGCGGGAGAGGAGGTAATGATAAGAAACAGGTTCTCTGAAATGAATGCTCCAAAGGACAGCTCTGCTAACAAGTAAGTCTTATCATATTGATTGTCTAGTGATAATAAGCTTTGTCATTTAATTGAGTTTACTTTTCTCCTTCATAATTGTGAACATGGTTTAAAATCTCAGTTTGATAACAAGTTTAACACCTTGTTGCACCATTATACTGCTAGTATACTTGGTGTTATATCAACCTGTGCTGCCATCACTGAAAAATTAATTAAAAAAATGAATACCAATATGATCTAACAGTGGCCTATGGTCAGATTGATTTTAAATAATATGATGTCATCAATCTCTTTTTTGTTGTTGCTTGTTGTGCCTGTTGAATTGCTTCTTTTTTGCTGCTGAATCAGGCTTATAATTGTTAATGTTGTTAGGTATTATAATTTGGCTCATGCTGTGAGTGAAAGGGTCATAAGGCAACCCTCAATGCTACGATCTGGAACATTAAGAGACTATCAGCTTGTAGGTTAAAACTTCTTGCAGAATTATCAGAATCTAGGTTTTAAAACAAAATCATTTTTCTTCTGCTTCTTTCTTTCAGGTCGGGCTGCAGTGGATGCTTTCCTTGTACAATAACAAGTTGAATGGAATTTTGGCGGATGAGATGGGTCTTGGCAAGACTGTCCAGGTTGTCTTTATTTCTGAGTCCTGTCATTACTTCTTGGCCTGATAGAAATTATTTTAAAAGTAAAAATATATTACTTAATCATACAAGTACAGAAGAATCCCTTTTCCAAAAATAATAGATCACTAGGCCACTCCCTTCTCCATGTCCTATTGTTTTGACTGATTATAACATAGTCAGCAAGTTGGTTGGCTACACAAGTCCCTTCCCTTATAAAGACGAATAGTTTATGCACTTCAAAACACAATTTCCTTCCCAACAAGCCAGTTGGAGTGATAGATGTTTTCCTCCAGTAATTAGGAATAATTTAAAACCCGGAGTAGTACAATGTACATTACTTCTAGGCCACTGGATTTTTACTGGTTATGATGTTTATTATCTTTAGCTACTTATCAACTGGAGCTGGAAAATTTAACATTTGTTCCGGTAATGTCTTTATTATTATTATTTTTTGGGTTGTCATTTGTGATTTCAACAGGTAATGGCATTGATTGCTTACCTGATGGAGTTCAAGCGGAATTATGGTCCACATTTAATTATAGTTCCAAATGCTGTTTTAGTGAACTGGAAGGTATTTCTTTTCACTATTGCTGGTTTTTCTTTTATTCTCTTTCAAGAGCATGAATTGACACTACTATTTGTCTTTAGAGTGAGCTGCTAAATTGGCTGCCGTCTATATCATGCATTTTTTACGTTGGCGGGAAGGAGGAAAGGTCTAAGCTTTTCTCTCAGGTTAGGTGCCTATCTATTGCTCTTTATTGAATATTTGGATCTTCTTACTTAAGCCATATGTCCTGTTTCAAAATGAAGCTCACTAACATGTCAACTTATGAACAAGGAACTAGATAGCTAACAAAAGTATAGCTTAGAAACATGTGAGACACCAGGTAGACCACAATTATTCTTGAATTTAGCACACCATGTCTACTGAATGCATGTATGAAGCCATGAAGTTAAACATGGGAGCGTATTCCTGTGGATTATGAAATCTCAGCTTGTATATTGCCAGTTTGGAGTGTCAAAGAAGATATACCCTAACTGTAGTCTGTAGTTGCAAGAATTTACAAAGTTTTAGATTACTACCTGAAGAATTTTTGTTCATTTATCTATCAAATCTCAACATTTTATTTAGCCCACAAAAGACATATATCCTCCTTGTCTAAATAATAATTTTATACCATTTCCTGTTTGTATATTGAAGAGCTCAACAGTTTGAGTTGTATATGAAAATTTGATGCTGCAGTTGCAAAATGCATGAATGAGGACTTTCTTAGGGTGTATATTCAATCACCCTGAAATCATGAGACTTGTGTGTTCATACAAATTTGGTATGAAATGTTATGGCTCTTGCCTGTCCTCGCTCTTAATTTTTTGCTTGTTAAATTTATGTATGGAGCCAACCTTCTCAAGGTTAAATACTGTAACCATGTACCCATACTGGGAATCTTGTCATACTGGTATCTATCAACCAGTGGTGTGATATGCTTTGGTACACCAATAAAACAAATACTAACAAATTGTTTGATATGTCAGAGCTGATCAATTAGCTTGAAATGTTGGTATATTAGTATGTAACTGACATGATATGTTACACAGTCACGGTACTCTTTCTTTTGTTAATATTTTCACATTTATTCTTTCTTTGCCCTTTGCATCTTTAATCTTCTCCATAAAAGTCCGAGAAGTCATAAGGGAACACCACTTTTTCCTTTGTATTTCAGATCACATCGCTAGAATATAAATGTTGGTGAGCATAACTACTAATGCCTAACCCCATCTGCATTGTTTTCTTGGTGAAAAGTGACAATATAAAAGAAAATATTTATCTCATCCTCCAGTGCTTTATGAATTATTATTTTTTATCTAAATCATAGTATCTCTTTGGTGATACCCAAAGCCACTTTTGGCACCAAATAACCACCACAGCCTACAGCAACAACGACGATAGAGCCTTAAGTCCCAAGTTTACATGGATTTTTTTCCCGCCCTTGAGCTTTGTTCTGTAAAATGAGTAAAGTTTTCTCAAAGTCCTGTCTACCTCTCCTTAACACTATTTTTAATTGATTCATATGTCTAACTACAATATCCAAGGACTCATACATATGTCATCTTAAATGATATTCCTTATCTTATTATCTATCGAGGCTACGCCTTATCTTACTATCTTATTACTCTTATATCTTCTAGTAACTTTGTGTATCCACCTAAATATTCTCTTCTCAACTACATAGGCTTCTGTGGTACATTCCTATTCACAAAGCATGTCTGGCTTTACAACCCTTCAATAAAGTTTTCCTTTTAGTCTAAGGGCAATATGATGGTTACACAAAGTCCCCAATACCTTTTCTGCCTTAACCACACAAAATAACCATCAGAGCCTGTTCCTCGATATTGATGGATGTTACATAACTGTTCTAAATGACTAAAGATGTGGTCAAACTCTAGCCATGAAGGGTATTTGTAATTGAAAATAACTTCATGGCTAAAAACATGCACAAGGGTTTAGGTGAGATTATGAGTAGAATTACACAAGATTAATTGTTGATTATGATTCTAGACCACATTATAAAGATCAATATTTGTATTTGTAGTATATATGTTTATATACATAAGTACCATGTAATGCTTATGGGCGATAGTAAAGATCTCCGGGATCCCTCTTATTTCATTGAATCACACTTGCAGGAATCTGAATCTCAATTTGTTTTACCTGCTCGTTCATTTTTAACTATGTTAATTCACCTCGCAACTAATGATTGTAATATATTATCTTTTGTTGCTTATCCCTATTTAAATACTTGCTCAGATTTTCATAATGAAATTAATTTCACATTCCTGAGCACATGGAAAAGATTTAGGTCCATTTTAGTGATAAAAGGATGACAAGGTAAAGGGACATATAATGCTGCTTTTGCTTTAGGACACAATGAATTTTGGGTTTCACATAATCAATTACATTAACATATGATCCACTAGTAAGTGCAGCACCTGAGTGTTTTCTCCAAATAGTTCTCTACTGAAGATCTTTTTATAATCTGATTGTTTACAATGGGAATTGAAAGCCATTTGAAAATCCATGTTATTTCTGATTGTCATAACAATGAAACATTTTACTGCTGCGCATGTTTCAATCTTATGTTTAGCATGCTTCGAGAAGCAATAGCTCTAAATTTTATTTGTGATTCTTTGCAGGAAGTTTGTGCTGTCAAGTTTAATGTGCTGGTAACAACCTATGAGTTTATCATGTATGATCGTTCTAAGCTATCAAAAATTGACTGGAAGTATATAATCATCGATGAAGCACAAAGGATGAAGGATAGGGAGTCAGTTTTGGCACGCGATCTTGATAGATATCGTTGCCAGCGAAGACTACTACTTACTGGAACACCTTTGCAGGTTTTCCATTTAACTATCTTCGTATATGTGAACGATTAAGTGTTTTTGTTACATGAATATTTTACATGCTTGCAACTTTAAATGTGGTAATAATTTTGTAACCTTTGTTGCTATTGTTTTAATGTCATTCCATAACCTTAATGTTCATTCATGTTTTTCATGGAAACAAAAACAATAAGAAAATGAGGTGATATTTCTAGTATAGTTAGTTCTATGCAAGAATTGTTCTTTCAATGGCATCTTCTATACTCCATAACTTAATAAGCTAGTGGCACAAGATAGAGTTGTGTGTTGGGCTAGATGATTTGTTGTTTTTTTTTTGCAAATTGAAGCATCTTGGACAATATATATAGGTGGAAGTCCAGAAGGCACGTCGGGTATGAAAGGTGAATAGTTTAGATAGTACAGTGAGAAAGAAGATATCTTCAGAAGTAGGAGGATACCTAAAAGGAGAAGATACTAATAAGGGCTAATCAGCCATTAAAAACATTCTTTTTGTTGTTAGCAGTTGTTTTTTAAAATTAAAATTAAACTTTATATCAAGGAACAAATTTATTGAATATAAGCTTTCTCGACAACTGTTATCTATATCTACGAGATATATAACATCAAGGACTAAATTATAAAAGATGGGGTTTGATAGGGATGAATCCTGACACCTCCTAGCTTCCCCCGCCACATGAGCAACACCTAAACGAAGTCTCGGAGCCATCCACAGGAGGTCATGTCACCTGCCCAAACTTCCCGAAGTAAAGCCCACACGAGCTAATTCTCACTAATCCCGTAGCTGGGAAAATAAACCTGACACTGCATTATAGATGGCGGCGGCATGGCCCGGCTTCACTTGCCTTCCCTTCCGGACGAACGACGAGGGGACCACGCCCTGCCTGACCTAAAGAAGCAAGGAAGCTCGATCGGAGGTGTCATCGCGACAGTCCCCATATGCTACCTCTAGGAGAACGCGTTGGTAAGTCGCCCACATTAAATGTTTCCACCACGTCGGGTAAGGGGAGCTCGATAGAGGCCCGTTTGCTCCACCCAGCACCTAGGTATAAGAGCCATGCCCCGGGCCAAGCCGGGGTAGACGAACAAAAGAGACTCTTTACTCTTTTAATTGGCCGGGGCAGATGAACAAAAGAGACTCTTTACTCTCTTAATTTATTGTCGATACTATTGTCTTCCTCCCCTTCTGCTTTCCTGACTTAAGCATCGGGGGGATCGAGCCGGGACACCCCTGGCGCAGGCCTGTTGTGCAGGGTTACCGACATAGCTCAGAGGCGCAACTAGGAAGCTACCCAGCACCCGAACCAACCTTCACTGCTCTTAGCTCATCGCCTCTTCCTACAGTTTTTTGCGTCCTGCCTGCCACACCTACTCTCCAGCTCATCAGGAAGAGCCACCATAAGAGACCTGCACTTTCCGCAGAGAACCAATCGGGCCAACTCACTAGTTGATGGTCTCTGTGTGTTAACATTTTGGCGCTAGAAGGAGGGTCGAATGTCGCAAGAATATCCTTCTACCACTCCTAACAAGCGCTCCAGTGAGGAGGCGTTACCTACGACCCCTAGCTCATTCGAGTAGAGAGGTCACGTGCCTCCCTTCCTACGGAACGATGCATCCACCTCGGCCCTACTGGCGTCTTCTTAACGACCCAGGACTTTCCCCTGCAGGGCTAGGAACGGGCACCCTGCTCGTCCTATCAGAGGCATTCCTGGGCCTTGCTTAGTAGGTTTGGACCCTCATCGACACAATGCAAGCCATCGCCCCGCTCCTCCCTCAGTTGACGCAGTTGACGATTTCGGCATAACGACCTCACTCCCCCCCTTAGCCGCTAGTTACACATCCCCCGCTTGATGCTCAATCGAAGAGTCCACACCCCACCTTTCAAGAACCTCCTCAATCGAAAGGGACAGGCGGTGCCGCACTACACCTGATGGCAGAACACAGCGCTCCGCCAAGCTGCACTCAAACCCTGCAAGAATTCGAGGTCCAGTCTGTTGATTCTTGGGAACACTCGATGAAGGTACAACTCTAGACCATGAACCGGAGGCTAGACGACGAGGTTCATCAGGAACTCCAACACCCACGCAGCGAACTCGACACGCCCCACATATCCCCTTTTATTCAGAGTATCTAGAAGGAGCCCATCCCAGCCAGCTTTCGCCTCCTCAGCCTAGAAACCTTCGATGGAGGCTTTGACCCCATAGAACACATCGCCGCATTCGGTGCCCAGATGTCTCTGTTCGGGGCACTTCGGATGCTATGATGTATCGAACGTTCCCGACGACACTAAGGGGGCTAGCCCGAGAATGGTATAGTCGCTTTAAGCCCCTTTCAATTACTTCTTTTTTGTAGCTCGCCAAATAGTTCGAGCTCCACTTCCTTGCCAATGTGCGACCAAAGCCCTCGGCCGTTGTCCTGCTTGGGCTTAGGCAACGGGATGATGAGCCCTTGTCCAGCTTCGTCACCCGGTTCGTCGGGGAGTTCCGAGGGATTTAGGACGTCCACCCCTCGTTAAATTTAGGCCTTCATGATGGGCCTGAGGCCTCGGTTCTCGGCCCCGAAGTCGCCCCGGAGATGGCATCCCCGAACAGACAGTCGGTGGGAGAGAACGGGGCTACTCCCCCACAACATGACGAGGATGAAGATCTCTCCAAATAAAGGAGAATGGCTTACTAAAGGAGCCCAGACCCATGAGAGGGTCTCCAGAGCAAAGGAACAAATCCAAGTACTGTCGTTTCCACCGAGACTATGGACACGACACAAAAGAGTGTCGGGATATGAGGTACTAGATCGAGGAGCTCATTAGGAGGGGCCACCTGACAAGGCACCTAGGCTAGCCTTGGGAGCGTTCGCCTCGCCCCCGAGGATCCGTGGAAAAGCAAATTGACGTCATCTTCGGGAGGCATGCTTCGGAGGCGAAAGCTCCTCATGCCGGAAAGCCTACGCCCTGGCCTCCTCAAGAAAAACCCCGAGGGTCGAGGAAGGGCCTAGGATCGTCTTCGGAGAAGAAGATGCGTGCCACCTAGACCCCACCCACGACGATGCTCTAGTAATTTCTGTTCGGATGGCCAACACCCTTGTCAAGAGGGTGATGACTGACATTGGCAGCTCTGCCGACGTGCTCTATCTCGACACCTTTTGGAAGTTGGGGCTAGCCATAGTGACCTCTCTTCGATGACGTCCTCGCTCTCAGGGTTCACAGGAGACCCCATCTCCCCCCGGGCACAGTAACCCTCCACGTCACCTTTGGCGAGGAGCCTCGATCTAAGACGCTATCGGCCAAGTTTGTCGTGGTGGACCTTCCTTTTGCATACAACGCCATCATTGACCTCCCCCATCATTGACCCATTCGCAAAGGACCTTGTGACTAGGAAGGGAAAACAAAGGTGGCCATGGTATCACAAGGCCCCATTTGAGTTAGTCGTCCATAGCCCCCCAGGGGAACTTTTGGAAATGGTCCATAAGAAAAGACCCTCATTGCAAGAAAAACAAAATTTTTATTGATTGTTGGGAGTACAGAGCCCTGTGGGCATCACAAAGGAGGCAAAGCGGAAGGAGGGGTCGTGGGGCGATCGTTGAAGGGAACCTCAGTACGCCGGCATATGCTGGATGCTTGGTGAAGGGATCCTCATCGACCTCCATTCCCAGATACCTGGCCTTGAAGCGGCCTATGGCAATGCGATACCCGAACTCATAGGCGGCCTGACCAGATTGTCGGACGTCGCACTGGAACCCCTCGGACTCCTTGTACACTGCCATGACTCTCTCCCACTCCGAGGCTTGGCCCCTTCTTCCCAAGCCTCCCTCGCCTCTTGGGCGTCGAGCCAGGAGGTCATCAATTCGTCGGAGTTCGCAAACAACTGGTCCTCCAACTGCCTCCCTCTTTCGAGGGCGTCACCCAGCTATCGACGAGTATCTTTGAGCTCCAGGTGTAGAGCATACAGACGGTCTTCAGCCTCCGTGTTGCTGCACGCTGCATCATCCTCCATGACTGCCAGTTCATCTCGGGTCTCCTCGAGCCTCTGCACGGCCTCCACAGCTCGCTGATGAGCTAGCTTTAGCACCAGAGACAACCTAGAAACCTGGTTCCCCAGTCCCGTTCCAATCGCTGGACCCGAGTCTGAAAATCCACATTGGCCTAGGACAACTGGTTTATCATCACCCTAGCGTCCCGCTCTCGGTCGATGAGGGTCGTCACGTAATGGTGATGCTGCAACAAGAAGCAGAACGTATGGTCAGGAACGCAGAGAGAACATGCAGATTCAAGGAAGGAGGCTCACCGGGACTTCGCTATGGGAACAGACGTCAACTAGGACCTCAGGGCAACTATGGTACATTAGGCTGGGCAGGAGGGGGCTGAGTGACCCCCCGGCAATACGTAATGGCCGACCCGACCTCCTCCCAGAATCGTTGATCCTCAGTAAGGCCCTCACAGTGAGACCTCAGGGGGGCATCGGGGGTTGGGACCAAGCGGTCGATCATCGTGTGGATCGTGAGCGACCTTGGCGAGAAGGAACCCCACTCTGCTCGAGAGCCCACAGAGTGAGACGGCGGAATGACTTGTGGACCCTCTTCAGCACTAGCACCTCCCTATACTGTAGATGGCTTCCCGGCCCCGAGTGCACCTTGTGGCATCCTCTCGACTGCATTAGGAGGATGACAATAAGGAGCCTTTTCCATGGTATGCCCCCGCCTCACCGAGGATTGTGGCAGGCCCTCGCAGCGACGCACTGGCCGGGCCCACCGATTGCTCCGAGATGGCCTCGAAATGTAATCTGGAGATGAGGTCAGCAAGAGGCCTCGGGGAAGATGCAACGTTGGGCCCTAGGGGAGATCTGCCCGGTCATCCCGCGAAAGGTCCCAATAGAGATTTTGGGGCGGGCCTCGCAGAATATTCCGGGGCAGCGGTAGGTCCCAAAGTAGGCCTAGGCCCCCCATATACCACTCTCGGAGATTTGAGGAGGGTCCCCTGAAACCTCTTCCGACGAAGCAATGAT